CGCGCACACATGATGCGCAAAACTCCGCATTTGAACAGTCAATAGCAAATACTTAAACTAGTAACAAAACATACTTACAGTAGCTGATTCAGAAGCGCCAGATTGTCATAGTAAAGTCAGAATTACCTCCTCTCCTAGGTTCACGAAACGGTCGTCCATAAAATGCATTGCTGTTCTGTTGTAAGTAATCTTAAAGATTCCTAAATGCATCTACTTTCGTAAGGCCAAATAAAGTGCTTTTGCTTTCGCACTTAAACACACAGCGTCTCCCTGACATGGTTGCTTCAACACTAACTGCGGTTACTGAAACCACGCTTTCTTTCTTTGCGTGAACATTTGGGCAGCATTATGCAAATATTTCCGCATAGTGATGTAGATATGTGGGGGCGTGTTAGAATGAGCCGTTTTAGGGGGGCGTGGCAGAGTCTTAACTTTGATAAAGAATATCTCTTTGGTTTTGAGACTTTAGTCTTTCCAACTTCAGGGATCTTATCTATGCACAATCAGCTTGTAACACTCCAAAGAGAAAGGAAAACTTGAAATCACATCATATGACCCCTTTAATGTTTGTGTTCCAAGGCCAACGAAGCATACTCGTTCAAACCAATGATTACAGCTATTTGTTATCCTAGCCATCTGCTTAATTGTTGAATTACCGCAATCACAATTCACTGTAAGAACTCAAATGGCTTTTCTGTCCCCAAATTGCCTTACAGTGATTTAAATGTGATTTAATTTTAATTTTTAATAATAAAATCAGCCCAAACATTGCTCTGTTAGATTGATCTGCTAGAGATGCAGCAATATTAATGGAGTCCCGTTATGATTTTTTTTTTACATTTACTTCCTTTACTAGTGTGTAATGTTGTTTTGCATGAAAAAGATCAGCAAAGTCCACTCCAATAGGAGTTCTTCTCCATATCAGTAAGCACTCTTTCTGAACTCCCTCAAACACTTTGAGTATAGTCCTGAGTTTTCCACCGGGAATTTATATGTCACAATATCCCTCATTTAAATCATTCCCACCCAGGGCATACATCAGAAGATAAGAGGGAGCGAGGCCTGGTTGATCTGCGTTAGTTGTGTGTTATCACCATGTCCAAGAGACGCTGTTTCACAGATCTAATATACTGATACATGTGCGGCTGTTTATGTTCACAGACACAAACTGACTGCGTTTATGTGAACTTGTGTGCATTTGACAGTTGATGTGAAGTTGACGTTCTCAGGACACCTGAGATTTATATTACGTCTTGTAAAAAGGGGCATAATAGGACCTCTTAAAAGTATGACCTATATCATTAAGCCAATATTAAAATTGAGACTGTTAAAACACTTAGAAATAAAATGTTGTTTTAAATGTTATACAAGTGAATTTAGCCATTATAACATTATAATCTATAGCAGCGGTGGCGAACTCCGGTCCTGGAGAGCCGCAGCCCTGCAGAGTACAGCTCCAACCCTAATTATAACACACCTGCCTGTAGCTTTCTAGTAACCCTTCAGACCTTGATTAGCTTGTTCAGGTGTGTTTGATTAGGGTTGAAGCAAAACTCTGCAGGGCTG